GCAAGATGAAAAGAGACGGAGGAAGATGACTTCGTCAAGGATTAGGGAAATGTGTTCAGTGTTTACAAAGGTGCAAGCATTTATCGATGAATTTTATCCTGTCACAGAAGTTGCAAGCCGCATTGGCAACATGTACAATGACACTCTTGTGTTCCATTTTAGGGAAATCCTAAGGGCTCATGAGAAACAGAGCTCTCTGGATAGTTATTTTGTGCGACAGGGGTCCAGTGACTCTCAAGCTGGTCCTAGTGGCATTAAAAAACTAAGAAGAGAGGTAACCCCTCCAAAGGTCTTGGTACCTGAAGTCTTTATGGAAGGGGATTCTCCTTCCAAGCAATAGATAATCCTGAATCTCCCCTGCTGCTGGTACATCACTCAACAACAACTCCACAATAAAGGTAAGTGGCATTTAATTATTGTTTATTTTGCATGTCCCATTCGTTTTCGTGTCAGGAAATGTATATTTCATGGAAAAAAAAAAATTCAGACTTTGGGGTGTCAGGAACGGATTAATTCTATTTCCATTATTTCTTATGGGGAAAATTAATTCGACCAACGGCAATTTCGATTAACGGCAAGCTCTCTGGAACGGATTAATGCTGTTGGTTGAGGGTCCACTGTACAGTGTATTTGAAGTTCAGGACCACATGATCACTAGCTCTGAGGGGCCTTTCACATGTCATGTCCTCAGTGTCAGAACTACTCAAAGTGAATATGAGGTTTGACCTTGCTGGTTCAACTTCTTCCCCAGGTACCAACAACCTCCCATTCATGCTTACTACTGCACCAGCATTACTATCGTGGTGCCTAGGGACCATCATCATTTGTGTTTTCTCAAGTGCAAATGTTACTTGCCATCTATTTCCCCAGCTGATACAGCTCTTAGCTGGTGATTGATGTAGCTTAGAGCAGCTGGCATTTCTTCTCTTGGATAAGTGAATGTCATTGTACAGTCGTCTGCATATGCATGGGATTCTGGGATGAGATGAAGGTCATTGAAGTAGACATTCCATAACAATGGTCCCAGCATGCTTCCTTGTGGAACACTTGCCCCAATAGGATGTCTTGCTGATTCCGTTCCATTAAGAACTACCCTTAGAGATCTACCATGAAGGTAATCGCTGAGGAGACATAGCGTAGAGCCTGCAGTTCCCAGAGCTTGCAGTTTTGCTAAGAGGCCCTGGTGCCACACCCAGTCGAAAGCACCAGCAGTGTCCAGTGCTACCACACAGCTGACTTTGGATTCATCCAGTGACTGGTGCCATTTAGTGGAGAGGTTTAACAACAGATCAGCAGCAGAGTAACCTTTCCTGAAGCCATATTGACGGTCACAAAGTAGTGAGTGGTCATCAAAAAACTGTCATTTGTCTTGAGATTATTGTCTCAAGGATCTTGCCAGTGATTGGCAGGAGTGACACTGGTCTGTAGTTGCTGATTTCTGCTCTGCTCTTCTTTTTGTGAACAGGCACTACATTTGCCTCTTTCCACAGAGAAGGCCATTTACACTGTATTAGGCAGTGCTGAAAGATGCAAGTTAGAGGTGCTGCTAGCTGGTCTGCACATCTCCTCAACAATCTTGGGCTCGACTTGTCTGGGCCCACAGCCTATTCTTGGTCAAGCAATTTAAGAAAGAAATACACCTCCTCCTGCCTTATTGTCACCACTAACAGTTTTGACACAGTTCTTGCATCTAGCCAAGGAGGCTGCCTTGCTGGATCAGGAACTTGCATTTTGGTTGCAAAGTGTTCGGCAAAGAGGTCCGCTTTCTCTTGACTACTAATAGAGATGGTCCCAGCCTGTCGATTTAGAGGTGGAATGAGTTCATCACGCAGATAACCTAGTCTGTCCTTGACCAGGGACCACCAGGTTTTGGAGTCTACTCTACCCGATGCTAGCTTTCTTTTTGTGTCCACCTCCCATTTAGCGATGGCCCACTTTTGAACGTCGCCCATATGCCTACAGGCTTGCCTGTGCAAGATCCTGTTATAGGTGGTAGGATGACTCTAATACCTTCGCCATGCCTTGTACTTAGCCATAGCAGCCTCTCTGCAACGAAAGCCAAACCAAGGCTGATCTGTAGGCTTCGTCACATATTGCCGGTGAGGAATGTGTTCTTGTTGTAGATTAAGGAAGTGTCCAGTGAAGGCTTTCACTTGGTTGTCAACATCCCCTTGCAGAAGAGCATTCCAATTGGTGGTGACGAGCTCAGAGCAAAGGGCTGCCCAATTACCAGGTGCGTGTGGACTCCTCACCTCATTCTGTTGGGATCTTAAGTGTTGTAAAAACAGCCTTGTGGTCAGATGATCCAGTGTAGCCAAGGGGTTGACAAGTGAGTATACCTTTCTCTCTCACTCTCTCTCACTCTCTCTCACTCTCTCTCACTCTCTCTCACTCTCTCTCACTCTCACTCTCTCTCACTCTCACTCTCTCTCACTCTCTCTCTCACTCTCTCACTCTCTCACTCTCTTTTTTTTTTTCACAGGGTTTGACAAGGTTAAGGATCCCTGGCTTTATTGACAAGCTATTTACAGGTTAAGGATTCCTAACTTTATTGGCAAGCTGAGAGCTGTTACCTACATCAGCTCATTTGAAAGCATTTTTTTTTTTGAGACATACAAGTAGGGAACAGGATGAAGTTGGAGCCATCTGTGGGCCAGCATTTTCATTTGATCAACTGACTTTATCTCGTTGACATCATTATGCTGTACGAATGTGTTCCATACTCGAGTCATCCTGGGGATATATGATCATAGATGGAGTGATGTTCTGGAGAAGGGTACAGCCAGAGTGAAGTTGCTGCTTTCTGCCCGTCTTGTGGCATAAAAGCTTGTTTCTCGCTGTCCTCGAAGTGGATCCAAGTGTGGTACTTTGACAATATTGGCCTTGTACGTAACAGTAAGGCCACCCACATCCCTCCTGTGTTGAAGGCTCTACTGAAATGACAGGTTTATCCAGGATGGGTCCAGGCAAGAGATGAGACATCTTGCTCTGTTCTCTACTCTGTCAAGCAGTCACAGATGAGAGGGGGGGGGGGCAGGCAAACGAAGAAAGTGGAGCATACTCGAGGTGTGAGTATACTTGTGCCTCGTACAGAATCTTGCAACCCCTACTGTCAAGCAGATGCGAGATACGGCAAAGTGCTGTAAGCTTTCTGGCTGCCTTGTTTGCAAGATTTACAACATGGTTCTTCATGGTTAGTTTGGAGTCAAATTTCACCCTAAGGATATCAACTTCTTCTCCAGGTGCCAACACCCTCCCATTCATCCTTACTACTGCACCAGCATTACCATCATGGTGCCTAGAGACCATCATCATTTGCGTTTTCTCAGGTGCAAATGTTACTTGCCATCTATTTCCCCAAGCTGATATAGCTCTTAACTGGTGATTGATGTAGCTTAGAGCAGCTTGCATTTCTTCTCTTGGATAAGTGAATGTCAGTGTATAGTCATCTGCATATGCATGGGATTCTGGGATGAGATGAAGAAGGTCTCGCTCTCGCTCTCTCTCTCTCTCGCTTGCTCTCTCGCTCTCTTTCTCTTTCTCGTTTGTTCGTTCGTTCGTTCATTGTGTCCCTGACATGTTGATGCATGAGGTTTTCCAGTACCACCTCCATCATCTTGCTCTCCATGTTTCAGGTCCCCCACATGGCTTTAGGTTTCCCCAGTCAATCTTGTAGTTGAAATCACCTACAACTAGTAAGTTTGCCCTTCTGGCCACCTCAGCTAGTGTGTCCACTATTGCTCTGTTGCTTTCCTTATATTCTTCGCTTGGTCTCCCTCTATTCTGTTGTAGGTTGTACATCACTGCAATCACCACTGTGGGGCACACAGTCTGAAGTGTTCCTACTATGTAGTCCCATGCTTCCATTCTGTCCATTCCTTCCATTTCCTCAAATCACCCTTGGTTTTTGATGAGCAGTGCAACTCCTGCTCCCTCTTGTGTTTCCTCAGGATCTGATATCTGGATGGAAAGAGTGCATCTGTTATCCCCATGAGCTTCATTTCTGTGGGTGCTATGTCTGGGGGATGTCTCCATGATTTTTTCATGCCACTCACATTTGTTATTCCATCTGCATTGGTGTACCAAACCTTCAGCTTCTTTTCTAATACGTACTGTGGTCTGGGGGGGGGGGTTGTTGGGGAAGTGGCAGGATACTATGGGGGAGCTGCTGTGAAGGTGAAGTTTGTGGTGGGGAGGGTGGGGGACTGTGGGTACAGTGTGTGGGTTGTTTTGGATTAGTTTGGTTGGTTGCAATGGGGCTGTCAAGGTTGAGGGTCTTCTGTAGGTGGTTCTGAGGGAGGTGGTGTTTGCTCTTCCTCCTGAATTTGGATTCCCTGCCTGTTTCCATCCTTGACACTCTTTCCTGCTTCTTGCATCTTTGTATCCTCTCAGTTTGTCTGTCTGTTTTCTTGTGTTCTGTTGCACTCGAGGTACACCCTTGATAATTTGATGAGCCCCTTAGTCATGCTTTCTTCTGCAGGATCCTGTTTCACACCATTTCTAACTTGAAAATCAATTGATGTGTGTGTGTGTGTGTGTGTGTTCTCGCCTAATTGTGGTTACAGGGGTGAGTTCATAGCTCCTGGCCCTGCCACTTTGCTGTGTGTGTGTGCGCGTGAGTGCGCATGCGTGTGTGTGTGTGTCTTTCTTTTTGTGTGTGTGAGGTTAGTAGTTACTCGTTGTGTGCGTGTCTGTGGCTGTGTCATTACAATGTTTTATTAAATTAATTTCATAATACAATTTCCAGGAAATATGAGATCTTAAGATTTGTTTGTTCCCATTTAAGAAGTCTCAGTGTATCCAGATATCATAAGTTAATCTACATAAATGCCTGCAACCCTGTTTGTTTTAACGTAACTTAATTCAAACAACCTATCATAGTCTCTATTTAAGGATGTGTTAACAGTACAGGAAAATAATTATTTTGTACATTATACATATTTCCACTCATAATTTTTATAAATTTAAAAAAAAAAAATCTTTTATTTCATCTTGTGTAGGGAACATATGCAACAGTGTACAAAGGCCGATCACGACTAACAGATAATCTAGTGGCACTGAAAGAGATTCGGTTGGAGCATGAAGAAGGGGCACCATGTACAGCTATCAGGGAAGTGTCACTGCTCAAGGAACTTAAGCATGCAAATATTGGTAAGTGCCTTGGTTCAGTTTTAGTGTAAATATGTATCATTATTTTGAAACTTTTTACCCTATTTTCAGTAGCCTCTTTTTATGTTTTTACCCCAAAAAATTTCAAATGAATGAACAGATTTGTTTGAAATTTTGTATGACAACTTGGTTAGTGGCAGTATATGTGATAATATGACTCAGGAAATCATAACAACATGATTTTGAACAACTTGCTGTAAACAATATATGGAACCAGTGGGATCTGCAACCATGGTAAACCAGCCCTGAAACTAGTAGGACAGTACATATTTCTTTTTTTTAACACACCAGCTGTTTCCCACCAAGGTAGGGCGACTCAAAAAAGAAGAAACTGTCTCTGTCTTTCAGTCACTGTCTTGTTAGAAGTGTGTTGATATCACAGTTTGGATGACACTCTGAATTGCAACATTTCCTCCCCATCTTCAGAGTGTAGGCACTGTACATCCCACCTCCAGGACTCCAGCCAAAAAAGTTTCCACAAAACCTTTTATAAATATTACTTCACTTCACAGCACATCAGATCATAAAACCATTTGCCCCTACCCCCTGTCTAATGTGTTCACACACACCTGTTGGGTGTCCGAACCACTAGCTCTCAAAACCTCACTAACCCGTCCCCCCATATCATCCTGGGACACTCCCTACCCTTTCTTCCTCCTCCACCCCAGATTTGTATGCCCTCCTAATTATTTGGCTTCATCCTCTAAATGTCTAGACCAACTCAACAGCTCCTCTCCTCACTGAATAATACTTTTGGTAACCTCCTAATATCCAGGCTCTGAATTTTCTGCAGTTTTCACATGATACGTTGTCCACACTGCCTCCAGCCTCCTCCTTACTTTGACATTAAAACCCATGTTTCACACCATATAAGTGTGTTGATACTACTATACTCTGATTCATTCCCCTTTTCTTTTGTCTCCATGGATAAGGTTCTTAGTCTCCATAGATGCCTCAATACACCATCCACCTTTTTTCTCTCATCAGTTCTATGATTACCCTCATATTTGATAATGTGTATATTTCTATGCAGACTAAAAAAGTTAGCTTGGGCCATGCCGTGACTATAAATGCAAGATTTTACCTGTAAATCTCTCACCAAACATGTCTGTCAAGTTTCTTCTAAGTTGTTTTGCCTGGCTCACCGTGGGTTCAAATCCTTCCTGTTTCACGAGTTATTTGATAATATCTTCAATAGTGAACTGTATAGTCTGTCAACAGAATTCACAAGGTTCCCAATCTACAGAATTTTATTATTTAACATTTTTCTACTAAGCAACCTGTGAATAAATTTGATTATTCTCTGTTTTATTTTTTTGATGTATCAATTTTTTTTTTTTAGGCTAGGCACACAATCCATAAATTAAAAGGATTTTGTTCAAATTGTGGTCAGTGGTTTTTCCATGTTCAAACCTCTCCTTTTTCTGGTCATTATTAACCAGATTAAAGCAATATTTAGAGATGTGGTCTCTGGAACATAATTAACCAAAATCTGGATCAGGATTTATTATACAGACAAAATTTTGAATTTACTGATTTGAGATTTACAAAACTTCTTGGAATGCAATCCCCTGTGATTTTTGGGGCTGATTGTACAGTTTAAATGTTGAAAGGAAATAACAATCATTATTCTATGAGTGGGTTTACATAATTTATTAATACTGTATGTAACATTTGTAAACAATACATTTTTTATGAGTGCCAGTAACAGTGTAGTAGCCACATTTGCTGCATGCTTGCATCATGCAAAAACAGCAAGGCTAAAAGAAAGTGTTAATATCAAGATACACTGAATAAAGGAGATTGAATAAAGATAATTGAATAAAGGAAGCATCAGCTGAGGTAAAGGAAGCACCAAAAAAATAAAGCTGCAAATCGTAGAGAATTTTTTTATAAGCAAAATAGAAATGCGTTGTGGATAGAGCCATGAACTCTTAAGATGTGTAAATACTGTACAATGGAAAATGCAGTTTTGGAAACATTTGAACTGCAGAGGGAATGAAATTACAGATATCTTACGACAAGACATGAATGAATGTGCTAAGAGCAACACTTAATTTGAAATTGAATACTGTTGCAATACTGTCACCCAGACGTGGACAAAACATCCTCAAGGAAGACAGTCATGCGGTCGACATTACCTCGATATTTCTCATGCAGTCGACATTACCTTAATATTTCTTGTGAAAGAAGTAGATGCATGCAACGAAAAAATGAGTATGTAAGAAATAGCAAACTTATTTTTGCCACAGAGTATACCTGGTAAATTGTATGGTAGAGTTATTATTGAAAGAATTAAGAGTAAGACGAAGAATAGGATAGCAAATGAACAAGGAGGCTTTAGGAAAGGTAGGGGGTGTGTGGACCAGGTGTTTACAGTGAAACATATAAGTGAACAGTATTTAGATAAGGCTAAAGAGGTTTTTGTGGCATTTATGGATTTGGAAAAGGTGTATGACAGGGTGGATAGGGGGCAATGTGGCAGATGTTGCAGGTGTATGGTGTAGGAGGTAGGTTACTGAAAGCAGTGAAGAGTTTTTACAAGGATAGTGAGGCTCAAGTTAGAGTATGTAGGAAAGAGGGAGATTATTTCCCAGTAAAAGTAGGCCTTAGACAAGGATGTGTGATGTCACCGTGGTTGTTTAATATATTTATAGATGGGGTTGTAAGAGAAGTAAATGCGAGGGTCTCGGCAAGAGGCGTGGAGTTAAAAGATAAAGAATCACACACAAAGTGGGAGTTGTCACAGTTGCTCTTTGCTGATGACACTGTGCTCTTGGGAGATTCTGAAGAGAAGCTGCAGAGGTTGGTGGATGAATTTGGTAGGGTGTGCAAAAGAAGAAAATTAAAAGTGAATACAGGAAAGAGTAAGGTTATGAGGATAACAAAAAGATTAGGTGATGAAAGATTGGATATCAGATTGGAGGGAGAGAGTATGGAGGAGGTGAATGTATTTAGATATTTGGGAGTGGATGTGTCAGCAGATGGGTCTATGAAACATGAGGTGAATCATAGGATTGATGAGGGGAAAAGGGTGAGGGGTGCACTTAGGAGTCTGTGGAGACAAAGAACTTTGTCCTTGGAGGCAAAGAGGGGAATGTATGAGAGTATAGTTTTACCAACGCTCTTGTATGGGTGTGAAGCGTGGGTGATGAATGTTGCAGCTAGGAGAAGGCTGGAGGCAGTGGAGATGTCATGTCTGAGGGCAATGTGTGGTGTGAATATAATGCAGAGAATTCGTAGTTTGGAAGTTAGGAGGAGATGCGGGATTACCAAAACTGTTGTCCAGAGGGCTGAGGAAGGGTTGTTGAGGTGGTTTGGACATGTAGAGAGAATGGAGTGAAACAGAATGACTTCAAGAGTGTATCAGTCTGTAGTGGAAGAAAGGCAGGGTAGGGGTCAGCCTAGGAAAGGTTGGAGGGAGGGGGTAAAGGAGGTTTTGTGTGCTAGGGGCTTGGACTTCCAGCGGGCATGCGTGAGCGTGTTTGATAGGAGTGAATGGAGACAAATGGTTTTTAATACTTGACGTGCTGTTGGAGTGTGAGCAAAGTAACATTTATGAAGGGATTCAGGGAAACCGGCAGGCTGGACTTGAGTCCTGGAGATGGGAAGTACAGTGCCTGCACTCTGAAGGAGGGGTGTTAATGTTGCAGTTTAAACTGTAGTGTAAAGCACCCTTCTGGCAAGACAGTGATGGAGTGAATGATGGTGAAAGTTTTTCTTTTTCGGGCCACCCTGCCTTGGTGGGAATCGGCCAGTGTGTTAATAATAATAATAATAATAAAGATAAATAAAAAAGAAAATACAGAAAGATGAGTACTATACAGAACCAAACAATGCCACAAGACATCAACAGCAAGAGAGATGAACTACAGGGCAATGGGGAACAAAACAGGCATTGTACAAACAATAAAAAAATACTACAAACCAAAACAAAGTGGTTACTTGTTAAGGATCTTAATGCAGAACTGGATGTATCAAGAAATCCTACATGTTAAAACAAGCCAAATACAGTAACTTACTTTATTTTTTAAATCAAGAATTAAAAACAGGAAAATAAGTTCTATTCATAAATTGGCCATCGAACATAAACAGTGCAGTATTTAAAGCCATAACAGAAACCCGTAGCAGTTTTCCTAAAAAATATTTTACATATGTAATAGGTATGCCTACATGTGGAAGTCTGATATATTCAAACAGATTTCACAGTATAATGAAACAAGTGTAACTACAGTAGAAAACCTTAAGTCATGCAGTAATGGCTTGCATTTTCAATATTCTATGATTTAAATTTAGGTTTTTGTTTCCATTAAGGCATGCCAGTGCAGAATTAATTTATGTTGGTAGCATGCATTTCCATTAAGGGGAGAGTGTTGGAGAGGGTCAGTGGATGTAAACAACCTCCCATATGGGTCAGTGTATATCATCACTCACTATTTCGTTCTTTTCATCCCTCCCCCCATCTCATCTCTAGGTATTTATTGTGGCATTTAAGTGAAGTGCAGGTGATGCTGGTGGAGCAAGGAAGAAATTAAGTGTGAAATTGTGCCCATGTCAAAAAAAATTGGAAGCAGTCAAGATAATGAAGATAATGATAATGTGTCATGAAGACAGCACAGGTGTTTGATGTCAGAGAATCAACGATTCGTTCAGTTTAAAACAATGAGACAAAGATAAAGGCTTGTGCAATGAGTAATCTTCAGTGTGACATTGAAAAGAATGAGGAATAAATCATTATAGCTTAATAAAAGAGAAAGCTTGCCAATTGTGTGGATTGAAAAACAAAAAGAAAGGTGTTCCACTTGATGGCCTTATTATTAAGTAAAATTCTTATCACCTAAAATAGTGTGTGAGGAGGAAAGACAGACCAGAAACAAGTGCACATTTAGTTCTGGATGGTTGAACCAGTTTAGAATATTCAGTGAGCTGTATAAAGAACTGCAGGTTAAACCAAACCAATGAAGTATGACAGTACCTGAACA